GAGAGCTGTGGCCGTGACAACTCGGGGTATATAGGCGGCTTTAACGGGATGGAGTCGCAAGTTGCGGATGCCCAGGCCGGCGAGGCTGAGCGAGCAGTGGGCGAAGGCCCAGCAAGCAGCTGCGCCTCTCGGGGGCTTCAAGTCTCGGAGCCCTTGGGAGCCGCCCGGTGGAAGCTCCTGCGGCAGGTAAGGGAGAGCCCACTGGCCTCACCTTTGCATCTGGTCACTTCCCTCGCAGGGACGCGGCGAGCGACCGGCCGCGACTCTCTCCTCTTGGCAGCTCCCGGAGTTCCCTTGTAGTTTTGCCGGGAGCCACCTGAGAAGCGCCCCCTCGCTTCTACTAAGGGTCCCACCGAAAGGGAAGAAATAGGGTGGGGCGGGGAGGGGGCAGCCAACGCTGAGTTCCTGGGAAACTCTGATGGAAGTAGATCTTCTTTTGGGTATTTGTCAGCTTCTGGGGGACTTTTCTCTTTGCTCGCCAGTACCATTGGTGGGATCGTCGCTCCCCATCCTATGCTGCTTCTCTTTCCTGCTTCTGTTTTACTTCTTTCGCCGGGTTTATTCATCCTGCTTATCTGCCTGCCGGAGTCTAGTTCAAAGTTTGGCCCCTTTCTTGGAGATCAGCGTGGTTAACTGTGTTGGGACTGTGACGTTGCACGTGCTGTCCGTACAGCGGGGTGTGGAAGGTGTATTTAGAGCTGCCTCTGTCTTTCACTGAGATGTGAGGTTTTCATGTTGATCTTGTAGTTTGAAGTGATCAGCGAGATTCTTGGTGTCCAAGGTGGACTAGTCCGGGTGTGTTGGTTTGTTTAATGCCGGTTATTTTCTAGCGCTTAAGAGTTGCTGCTGTTGCTGGTAACTGTAGATGTATGCAAGTTTGACAGATTTCTGATTTGACATCACCGACCCTCTTTCCAAACTTTTCACTCCCTCCCCCCCCGCAAATTTCTTAAAGTAAAATCTGTTTACTGTTTTGTACACAAGGTTTTCTGCCTCTGCTGAGGTTCCTCCTGAAAACTTGACTCAAGGGAACACTTTCCATTTCTGACTGCTGTTTTTCAAAAAGAATTTTCCAGTAATGGCCACTTTATTTGAGATTGTGTTTAGCATTTTGAGGGTTACTTTGTTTGCAGTTGTCTCCAGTCACCTTTTCTTATGGTGTCATGATATAACTCAGTGATCATTTCTTTGCTTTGAAAGTCTTTCCAAAGCATTAATAATCTGGTTTTGTTATTAATGTTACAAAATTATAGGATGACAAATGCATGTCCTCATAGGTCATTATCATGGGAACTTTTTACAGTGAAATAAACATCAGATAAAGTTGAACTATCAACGTAGTCAGTTAGGGCCTTAAATTAATCAATCAAATCTTACTGTGATGATTTCAGTGATTCTTAGTATAGTAAGAACTACAGTTAACCAGTGCATGTGTTCATTCTGAGTTGCTGTCTACATCAGAACCAGGACAAGCTTTAGCTATGGCTGCCATTTGTACTCCCCACATGTTTTGACATTTAATGTTTTGGTACACGTGTGTACTCTGTTTAGAGTCTTCTTATCTTCTTTCCTACTTGTTGCATGACTGTTCATTTTTCAGAACTGCATTTTAATGTTTTCTATGAAGCCTCTCCTGTCTCCCCTGGGCTGAGTTAGACCCTCAGCTCACACCGTATCATATCACTTTATGATCATTTGATCAGAGTCTATCTAATGTACTAGAATGGGAGTTCTCCCTGGGAAAAGATGATATTTTATTAATCTCCATCCTCTGCACATTGCATGGGGCCTGAGTAGTTGGTTTTTTAGCAAATATTGTTAAGTGTTGTGGAAAGCTTGAGAGTAAGTGGCCTATAGTATCAAGTCCTCAGTGTTTTGTATCAGTTAGCTGTTAATGAGTAACAAACAACTATAACATTAAGATGGCATACACCAGTGAGCATTTATTTTGTTTGTGCGTCTGTGGGCCACCTGGGAGTTGACGGACAGAGGCTGTCATTAGCAGACTGGCTCTAATACTCTGACCAGTTGGCTGACATATTCCCCTGGTGATGGCAGAGGTATAAGAGTGCAAGGGCAACCACCAAAACACATTTTAAGCCCTTGCTAACATCCTGTTGGCCAAAGTTAAGTTACTTGGCCAAGCTTAAAATCAAAGGGCAGAGATGTATACTCTTTCCTTGAAGGGTTTAAGAAAGGAAGTGAATATTTTTCCGTAATCTAATCTAGCATGTATATTAAGTATTTGCAAGTACTCAGTAAATATGTCTCATACAAACAGACCATCCACATCTTGTATGCATCCAGAACTGGAAAACTCAGGAATCTAAACAGTGATAGAGATATGCAGCTCTTTCTCTCTCTCATGAGACATTATCATGACATCTACTTGTGTCTGCTTGTTTTCTTCTTCACAGTTCTGTCATTCCCTTACACCATAAGGGCTTCAATGCTATCTAATGGGTCCTTCACTTTTTTTTCAATATTTTTTTTGGTTTTGTAATTAACCTTCTTTTATTTTTATTTTTTAATGTTTTATTTATTTATTTTTTTGACAGAGAGAGACACAGTGAGAGAGGATACACAAACGGGGAGTGGGAGAGGGAGAACAGGCTTCCTGCAGAGCAGGGAGCCCAATATGGGGCTCGATCCCAGGACCCTGGGATCATGACCTGAGCTGAAGGCAGAGGCTTAACCCACTGAGCCACCCAGGTGCCCCTGTGATTAACCTTTTTTTTAGAAAAAAACCCCATTGACCTAGTTCATCATTGGATACCAGGTCACATGATAAATTGCTGACTTTTGACCCTAGTGATCACTTTAATCAGATGAAGACTATGGATCAATACTGATAGAGGCTTTGGATAGTAGTCTCTTTTCCTCTTCGTTGTGTCTCATTACCTGATAGCAAAGATGGCTTTTGGCAACTACAGGCTTTCATCATGCACTCAACTAGTGATCCAGAAGAAATGACCCTTTCCCCAACACCCAGATTATGTCCATTAATGACTCTACTAGGCCAAGCTTGGACCAGTTGTTGGATCCAGGAGAATGAGGCACTTTGGCTACCTGGGACATTAGCCCACCCTGTGGCAGAGAAGTAACAATCCCATCATTATTTCAGAGAGTGAGGGAGGGGCAGTTCACAAGAGGAAGGGATGTAGGGCAGGTGAAAAAGTAGCAATGACCATTGCACACTATTCACAAACACCTACAGCATAAATACTTACCTAGAGGTCTAATACTTGACTTAATCTGATTGAGGGAATATTTCACAGTGTGATTTAAATTAAAACACTATGCCGTATATTTGAAACTATCAGTGCTGAAAGAGACAGTGTGATTCTTTGCCTTTTCCTAGCTCTTTGATGTTCATGAAATAAACATCCCCTCTTATATAACTAGTATCTAGCCCATAGGGTTATTTGAAGATTTAGTGATGAGTGTGGTAAAACATGCATTAATTCTTACTTAGACATTTGTTGTAATTTGCTGATGAGCAGTCTGGGCCTGGAGTTTTCCTTGGTAAGATTTTTATTTATGCATTATATTTTTATTTTTATTTTTAAAATTAGTTTTAGAGGTAGCATTTAGTAATTCATTAGTTGCATATAACACCCAGTGCTCATTACATCAAGTGCCCTCCTTAGTGCCCATCATCCAATTATCCCTCCCCCTGCCACCCACCTATGCATTGTATTTTTAAAATAATTTAGCACTATTCAGACTTTTTGTCTCTTCTTGTGTCAGTTTTGGTAGTTGTATTCTTCTAGGAACTTGTCCGTTTCATCTAAATTTTCATAGTTTTTGTAATATTCCTTTGCTATTTTTTAATGCCTGCTGGATCTATAGTAATCTACCTATGTCATGTTCATATTTAAATTTTCTCTCTTTTTTCTTACTAGTGTTATCAAGGATTTGTCAGTTTTACTAATCTCTTCAAAGAACTAACTTCTGGTGTTTTAATCCTTCTAGCTATATTTTTGTTTTCTACTTTATTAATTTCTATTTTTTAGGGAACTTAATTTGCTTCTTTTTGTAATTTTTGCAGTGGATACTTAGTTTACTGATATTTAGCCTTTTCACAAGTTTTCCTTTAAGCATGAATTTATCTGTATTTCATATGTCTTGAAATGTATTTCTATTATTCAGTTCAAAATACTTTCAGATTTCTATTGGGTTTTCTTTTTTTTGGTTCCTAAGTTATTTAGAAGTATATTGCTTTATTTCCAAATATATTTGGTGTTTTTTTTTTTTTTTGAAGATTTTATTTATTTATTTGACAGAGAGAGAGATCACAAGTAGGCAGAGAAGCAGGCAGAGAGAGAGGGGGAAGCAGGCTCCCTGCTGAGCAGAGCCCGATGTGGGGCTTGATCCCAGGACCCTGAGATCATGATCTGAGCCAAAGGCAGATGCTTAACCCACTGAGCCACCCAGGTGCCCCTATATTTGGTGTTTTAGGTAACTTTTTAGTTTTTTAAATTTAATTATGAATATTAGGATGTTCTATATCTTCAAAAAAAACCTTTCTATTATGGGAAATGTCAAACATATACAAAACTAGAGATAATAGTATAATAATCACTCATATATCTGTAAACTTCAACAATTTTTAACTCCCGACCAACTTTATTTTATCTCTGTTCTCTCATCACACCCTCCCATCTAAGATTATTTTGAAATGGATATCAGATATATTGTTTTTTTCCTACAGATATTTCAGTATATACCTGTACAAGATGAAATTTAAAAAATAATTAAAGGGACACCCGAGTAGCTCAGTCAGTTAAGCGTCTTGCGTTCACCTCAGGTCATGATCCCAGGGTCCTGGGATTGAGCCCTCATTGGGCTCCCTGCTCAGCAAGAGAGCCTACTTCTCCTTCACCCTCTGCCTGGCGCTCCCCCTGCTTGTGCATCCTTCTCTCTGTCTGTCAAATAAATAAAGTCTTCAAAAAAAAAAAAAAAAAAAAAAAAAGACAAGTTCCGGCGGGGCGGGCGCGGGGGTCTCCTAAGCTGGCTTCCGCGGCGGCAGCGCAATGACTACGCTCCCGGCCTTCACGTGCGATGACCTGTTCTGCTTCAACAACATTAACTTGGATCCACTTACAGAAACTTATGGGATTCCTTTTTACTTACAGTACCTCGCCCACTGGCCAGAGTACTTTATTGTTGCGGAGGCAACTGGTGGAGAGTTAATGGGTTATATCATGGGTAAAGCAGAAGGCTCAGTAGCTAGGGAAGAATGGCACGGGCACGTCACTGCTCTCTCTGTTGCCCCAGAATTTCGACGCCTTGGTTTGGCTGCTAAACTTATGGAGTTATTAGAGGAGATTTCAGAAATAAAGGGTGGATTTTTCGTCGATCTCTTTGTAAGAGTGTCTAACCAAGTTGCAGTCAACATGTATAAGCAACTGGGCTACAGCGTGTACAGGACGGTCATAGAGTACTACTCGGCCAGCAACGGGGAGCCTGATGAGGATGCCTATGATATGAGGAAAGCACTTTCCAGAGACACTGAGAAGAAATCCATCATACCATTACCTCATCCTGTGAGGCCTGAAGACATTGAATAACCATGGGCAGTGGTTCTTAGGCTGATGCTCCAGATATTTTATGGACAATATTATTTTCATTGGATGATCTTGGAGCTCTATTAGGAGAAAAGTAATCATTTAGGTCTTACAGACTTAAAGAAAATACAGGTTATAAACTTTAGTCTCATTGTTTCCAATTAGCAATATCATACCTACTAAAGCTGTTCACTGTAATAAAATTCAATCAAAAAGGCAGCTAGGTCAGACGGAAACATTCCACTATTTGGGGTCATAATATTCACTATATGCTAGGGAAAAAATGTGCTCCAGTCTCCTCCTAAATTCCGTGCCTGAGAACCACTGCTGCATATATATTTTTTATTTTGTATCGAACTGTTAATTGAAGCTTTAAAAGCATATATGAAATGTATAAATCTAAGATGTATAATAAAATGCACTGTAGACTCTAAAAAAAAAAAAAAATTAAGGGGCACCTGGGTGGCTCAGTGGGTTAAAGCCTCTGCTTTCAGCTCAGGTCATGATCCCAGGGTCTTGGGATTGAGCCCCCGCATTGGGCTCTCTACTCAGTGAGGAGCCTGCTTCCTCCTCTCTCTCTGCCTGCCTCTCTGCCTACTTGTGATCTCTGTCTGTCAAATAAATAAATAAAATCTTTAAAAAAAAAAAATCTTAAAAAAAATAATTAAAATACCATACCACACCCAAAATAATTTCTTGATGTAATAATAGCTGGTCAGTTTCCAAATTTTCCCTATTGTCTCAAAATTTTTCTTTACAATTTAATTATTTTGAAACATTCAAATAAGGTCTGAACATTGTTATTAGTTGATAAGTTTCATAAGTCTTTTTTTTTTAATGAAGTTTTTATTAAGTAATCCTTGCATCCAGTGCGAGGCTTGAACTCATGACTCCAAGTTCAAGAGTCTCATCCTCTTCTGACTGAGCCAGCCAGGCACCCTGTTTCATAAGTCTTTTTAATCTAAATGTGACTTCTGCATATGTTTTTGTTTTTTTTTCAAGATTTTATTTATTTATTTGCCAGAGAGAGAGTAATAGAGAAGGAGCATGCAAGAGCACAAGCAGGGGGAGCAGTAGGCAGAGGGAGAAGCAGGTTCCCTGCAGGCGAACTCCATCCCAGGACCCTGGGTCATGACCTGAGCCCAAGGCAGATGCTTGATTGACTAAGCCACCCAGGTGTCCCTCTCTGTGTCTCTTTCACCTCTTGCCATTTATTTATTGAAGAAACTGAGTTTGTTGTCTCTCAGAGTTTCCCATAATTGGATTTTTGCTAATTGTACTTGATGATGATGTTAATGTGTTTCTTCATGCCTAATTTCCTGTTTTCTGTAAGTTCCTATTTTCTCCATATAGAGGCTTGACCAGATTCAGATTTAATGTTTTTGACTTGCTCTGGTTTGATTGGTCAAGATGATGGTAGAGTATGTTTTCATCATCAATCATCAATTGATCAATTTCATTAATCACAGTGGTGTCTTGTTATTTCTCTTCTTGATGATGATTGTCTAGGTTCATGAATTCATGAGGAGGTTGAAAATGGTGATATTCTAATTGTGTCATTCCTTCTGCATTTATTTCTTGGAATACTGCTATAAAGGCAGACTTCTCCTTATCATCTATTTGGATGGATATTCTTGGTTACAGTTCATATTAGGAAAGACAGAAAAATACTTGATTCTTTCTCTTTGTTTGCTAGTTTTCCAAATAATAAGTTGGTTCTCTAGCATCCTTTGAAGATCATCAATGGGGTATTTAAAAAAAAAAAACCTGATGGACTCATATGTTTCGATTCTGTTACATTTATTACCTTTGTTAATGCTTACACCGTCCCATCTTTGGCCAATGGACCTTATTCAAATTGGCTATGGAGTTCTTTCCATGGAACTCTTAATTCTTTATGGCTTTCTTGTTTGCAGGATGTCTAAGGTTCATTTGTACAATTCATGCCATTTCTCCAGCCTTACTTTGTTTTAATAGAAAATGATATTTAGAGATAGCAATATGGGCATTGTGTCCATTGCTACTAGTTTGGTGGTTGTTTCTAGAACTTTTAAGTGGTAAGATGTAGGAAATATATATCTTTTTAAAAACGTTTTAATAAAATAACCATTAGTTTCTATTATACTTATTCAAATTCAGAGCTACAGAGTTTTTGCTTCAACATCATTAGTCTTTTTTTTTTTTTTTTAATATTTTATTTATTTATTTGACAGAGAGAGATCACAAGTAGACAGAGAAGCAGGCAGAGAGAGAGGGAAGCAGGCTCCCTGCTGAGCAGAGAGCCTGATGTGGGACTCGATCCCAGGACCCTGAGATCATGACCTGAGCCGAAGGCAGCGGCTTAACCCACTGAGCCACCCAGGCGCCCCAACATCATTAGTCTTAAAATTATATTTGTTTCTCCCATATTTAAAAATCCAGTTTTCAATGGAAAAAATTATTCATTTGGTTTATCTCAACAAAATTATTCATTTGGTTTATCTTAAAACAGATACATGCACACATCAGATATAATATACCTGCCCCTGCCTAGGTAGTAAGCTTTGAAATTCAACTTTTATCCTCTAAGTCCACAGACTGTAAAAGGTGCTGCTTGTCTTCTTAGCTCTTTCTATTGGAACTGGATCAATGTCCCCACGAGGAAATGATTGTAAAAGCCAGGTTCACCTCTCTAGATTTATTTCCTTTTTAAATTATTGCACTGGTAAATCTTCACTAGTTCTCTGCTTTGTTTTTTGTTCTCTGCTACCTTTATTTTTTAAAAAAATTTTAAGATATTATTTATTTATTTGACAGAGAGAGATCACAAGTAGGCAGAGAGGCAGGCAGAGGGTGAGGGGGTGGGAAGCAGGCCCCCTGCTCAGCAGAGAGCTGGATGCGGGGCTCAATTCCCAGGGCCCTGAGATCATGACCTGAGCCGAAGGCAAGGCTTAACCCACTGAGCCACCCAGGTGCCCCTCTCTGGTACCTTTAAATAATGTTTTAAGATATCCTGTCCAGGGGTGCCTGGGTGGCTCAATTGATTAAGCACCTGACTCTTGGTTTCGGCTCAGGTCATAATTTCAGGTTCTGGGATTGAGCCCCACATCAGGCTCCTCACTCAGAATGGAGTGTGCTTCTCCCTCGGCCTCTGCTCCTCTCCTGCTTGCTTTCTCTTTCTCTCTCCCTCTCCCTCTCTCCTTCTCTGTGGAATAAATAATAAAAAAATCTTTAAAAAAAAAAGATATTCTGTCCATTTTCTCTAGTTGTCTCCAGTAAGAGGTTGGTCTACATTGTCTAATCTGCCATCTTTTGGAAATGAAAGTCCCCTTACCACTTAAACTTGGAACACCTAACCCGTGTTTATATGATATGAACACAATATTTGGTTTTATTTCAAAGGTTCTGAAGCAAAAGCACCTGGATGATTGCCTGCGACATGTATCTGTAAGAAGATTTGAATCATTTAATCTGTTTTCAATAACAGAAGCCCAAAAAAAGGCAACTGAAGAGGAAGTTGGTGCTTGGGTCCAATATACAAGTGTCTTCTATCCTGAGTACAGTATTTCTTTAAGGTAAACATCTTTGACGATTTTTTAAAAAGTATCTTTCTCTTGTAGAAGAAAAGCAGTCTAATAAGGATCTCATTATTCATTCTGTTGCGTTTGCAGGTAATCTTGATCAGAACTTGGGTTTTGCAGCATTGTGTTAGGAAATCCTGCTACTTTAACTGGGTTTTGTTGTATTCTCAGAACTAAAGAAAAAAAATTCTCAGGAATGTAACAGCATTTGAGGACAAAGTGCCTTGCAAATCAAAAGGTTCTTTTTAACCATTCTCTCATAGCATTTGACAAAAAACCAAGTTCTTTTTGAGGAGGCAAGGAAGGCTGAAAGTGAAAACAGAATTTTTCAAACTACTCTTCAAGTAGTAGTTATCTGAAAAACCAAGCTTTGGTATTTTTCCCATTCATGTTTTGTTACTTTCAGAATAGAATCTAAAGAATAGGAGGAGAAAATTCAGCTGAAAACACTGATATTGTGAGAAGCATACACTCTTCTGGCTTTAAAAATCATTTAAAAAGAGACAGGAGAGTTGCAAACTGAAGTAAGAAGATACCATTTTTACTGAATTAATTTTCTCTCACAGTTATAGTCTAGCATATTGCAATATTACCGTAGGTGTTTGATTTTATAAAATCTTCCTTTTTTGACAAGATTTCACATCTTGAAAGGGAGGGAGGAGCACATTTACAGTAACTGTAAGAAGAGCAAAAAACATTTTAAGTGGAATGTGACTGAATAAGGTTTAGGTGAGGCAAGGAATAATTTTAAGAAAAAAAGTTTTCACAAAGGATGTCTATTTATAGTATATGTTTCTTGAACTATTTCAGTTTAAAATATCTAAGCTTTAAAAGACATCATAATAGCTTAAAATTTGGGATCTGGATAAAAATTGACTAGGGTAGGCAGGGAAGAACAATTAGGATCTGGTTTCATAATTATTGAAAACTCCAAAAAGAAGATAAAAACCTAGGGATTTGTGAGCTTGCCTGTATATTCATTTTGAGATTCTGATCCGAATACCTCAACTGCCTCACGTTCTCATGGAGACGGTTAGTTTAGTTCTTGGTTAGGAAGGGAGGAAAAACGCATTACGTGCTTGTTATATGCCCTATACAGAGCAAGGTGTTTTCGTGTATGCTAATTCAATAATCTTTATAGTAACTCTGCAAAGTAGTAATGAAGATGATTAAACAATCGGAAGATAGTATCTATAAGGAAATTAAAGAGAAGGAAGAACTGAGTGACCCAGTAGCAGTCTTCAGGTGTAAAGTTCTAAAACTCACCCTCTACATCCATGGGTGACAAGATGCAGTAAGTGTAAAATGTGCCAATAATAATTTCCTGACATATTCGAGGTCCTGGTAAGGGTTAGCTGGAGAGAATGTGACTCTTCCGTTCTTTAACGTTTCCAAACCAGGGCACAGTTCTGTTGCAGATGACACGGATGTAGCAGGAACCCAGGCTCCAATGTAAGCTGAAATTCCTTTCCAATGGCATGGTTCTTTGTGATATAGCTGTTTTTCAAAGAAATTAACGCCAGTCTGTCGTTGAACCCTCATTTATGGAGAGAAGACAGGTGACCAAGTTAAAACATTGGCTGCGATGGCTGCCAAGATTTAGTCTCTTTTTTCAAACTAGTTTGTTTCTCTCCACATTAATAGTGCAAAAATAACAATAGCTTAGATGTATTCTAGAGCTGAACACAATCTTAGAATAATTTTGAACAGATCATAACCACATTAATAAAGGCTGACCACCGAGGGACTACTATATGACAAGCACTGTTGTGAGCAATTTACATGTATTAGTTTATTTAATCCACACAACAGTTTATGAGGTAAATACTGTTATTATACTCATTTCACAATGATCGTAGTGAAACCAGAAAGGTTAAATGACTTGAT